CATTCTCCAATTTCACGGTTGCTGCAGCTTTGTAACAGGCCCATCAAGTCAACTTGCTTCGTGCGTGTGCGTGTGTGTGTGTGTGTTTAACTTGCCATCATGCACCCTTTTCTGAGCTTTCATATCGCCAAGCTAAAGGGAAAGTTGCCACAATGTAAATTTTGTGTGGGTGGCTTCCATCATATATGTGTTAGAGCAAGAAGGTCAGCAAGAACAGCAACACAGAGGGTTCAGAGCAGATGACTAGAGAATGAGGAACGGCTTCGTCGGGTTCATTTGTAAATGTTTTTATATTTCGTGTGCACGTACCAAAACCTACTCAAGATTTAAGGTTTGAGAATGTCTCCATCACGTGACATCAGGGGAATGAGTGGGTTAATGGGAGAGGGTTGGATAAAAAAAGGATATTTTTGTGTCGTATCTATGCGGTCAGAGTAAATCTCCTTACTCAGGGGTTTTTGTGTGCACGGGGGCTTTAACGTCCCCACTCTCCTTGATGAGACATCTTTCTTGTTTGTTCAAACCATTCATTACGTGGTAGCTGCTGGACGAGCCGTGCTGCTGGCCGGCGTATTTATCATGAGGCTAGAGCACGCTCTGGCTGACAGTGGGCGATTGATGACCGGGTCTGGGCCTAAGAGGCTGAGGAAGCCTTAATACAATGTAAATGACCCACTCCTCATTTCCAGTGTAGGCTGTTCCTACTACGCCATCCTTACCTTGGAGCCTGTTTATGTTTGTGTGAGCAGGGTAGGAGGAAGTGTTTGCTTTGGTATATTTGCAAGTGTGTTTAGGTGGTGACCAAGGTCAGGTAGAAACAAAGAAAAGGCAGAGGAAGAAAGCTGCACTCCTTTTACATGTCACTGCCAGAAGGATGTGCACAAATTCTGTAAAATAATCACATACCGCTAAAGACAAAGTCGGAGCAAAAATGCTTTTTTTTCCCCCTTGTGTCCATGTGCTTGTCTGTAGCAAAATATGTAATGAACAACTGATTCAACTTAACAGATTTTCATGATATTCAGAATCAGAATCAGAATAAACTTTATTAGAATTGCACCAAGGTACAACGTGAATATGTACGTACAGTCGTCCGAAAGATGGGCGGAGTGCACGAAGCTGCAACTACAGGAGAGCGCGGCCATTTTATCCTTATCAGATAATAATCTTGGATAGGAAAAGGGGGAGAAACATGAGGGTAGATAGTGGTATTACAAAAAAAAGATCTTTCACATCTTGTCTAGCAGGACACGATTTGAGACATAAAAAAACTACCAGCAGCTCAATTAAAACATGATTACATTTGACATCGAGGTGGTGAGATTTCAAGATATTTCAAGAAATGAAACATTATTGACATCCACAAATCAAGTTTTGGATTCAATCTAAATCAAGGTGGCTGTCACAGCCAAGTGAGCTTAGAAAGCACAAAAATAGCTGCAGCTCAGCCAATTTTACAGATACTGAGCTAAAGATTGGTGTGGTAGTAGCTGAGCATCGCCCTCAATGTGTACTTTGAGCACAACACATTGTGTAACATCCTTACTTAACACATTGGCGCTGAACAAATTTTAATGAAACTAGTGATTGTGGCTATACACAGATACAAGGACTGAAGAGAACAGGTACCAAGACTCCAATACGTTTTATAGTGTTTATTTAGCAAAGTGGAAAATCATCAAATGTACCATGGAGGCAGCTGGAACCCTGAAGAGCAAGGAGATGGTTAATGGTCTGTCAGCAGGGGTGATAATGTTTCTGCTGCTAGGAGGTAGGAGTCAGTTGTGGGGAGAGCTGACCCAATGGTTCCAGGCAGGAGGCAGGCCAGTGGTAGGAAGACATGGAGGCAGCTGAGGAGGCACAGGAGAGCTCAAGGTCCACAGAGGAAAATCCAGGGGACAGGAGGACATCAGGGATTAAACACTGGAAGCACAGAGAAATACAAAGTCTGTTAATATTCAGTTTAACTCACAAGAAAAAGATCAGAGCACAGCTACCATTGTCAGGTAATGCTCCAGCGCTGACTGCATGTCCTCTGCAGCCTTTTATGTTCCTCTTGCTCATCAAGCTGATGATCCTCAGGTGCTGC